AAGCTTCAAGGAGTAAAGGCCATTGACGTGCTCTCAAAAAGGAAGAAATAAAATTTGTGAAAGATGTTCACCGCCTTGAAGAATGGCTCACTTATCTTTATTATCAACATCAAATATACAGCGCGAGGCGGCAACGCTGTGGAAGGCTGCGGAAGGGTGCGGGTCGCGAGGACAATGTGTATTGAGGGCGGGCTGCGACTCGCCGCGACGCGCCGGGACTCCTCGCAACACCTAACATACACGCATCTGCACACATGTTGACATGCACTGCCTTTCATAAATATTATATAATAGATGAATTGCGTCATATTATTGTTAACGTGAGAACCGCGCGTGCTTTGACGAAGAGAGAAATACTTCGGAAGCGCAATGCACTAATGTCTATGGTACCATATAAGAACTTGTACACAAAACTGCAACTTCCCGTCGCCTCCTATTCCTTCGACAACAACCGTGTTATCACAAAAACGCTCGCCTAGTTTTTGTTAACTACTTTGCTCAGTTTCTACTACACAATTTCTATTTATCCTCGAGGATTTTATCGCCATAGTAATTTGAGCATGAATGTATTATGGAGACCGGGCGAGGGGTTGAGGGTTAAGGAGGGGGGGGAGGGGGTGAGGGGCTTCGTTTGTGTAAATTTATTATATTTGTCCGCTTCGTCGTAGTCAATTTGGGTTATGAAAATCTATAAAAATAATATTACCTAATAAACGTACTACTTTATACGAAGAAGCGCATAAAACTTATTGTGATCGCCGCTTTACTTTCCACTTTATGAGGAGCTGTTCTCGAATGACATATATCATACCTATTATCTATAATAGTAAAACGAAAATGTGGTTCAAGTAGCGACATACAGTGGCGAGTTTGCAACACCAACAATAATATCACGTGTAGTATTTGCTGAGATTTTTATTGTTAACTTGACTTCTTTGATGATTATTTACCTAATAGTAAAGAAAATATGGAGAACTGATCGCTAGTTTTCGGTAGTCGGAGAGGCACCTCAAGAAGAAGAAGAAGAAAGAAAATAGTAGTAATCACAAGTTTTATGTACTTTCGTAATTGACTTTATATATATTAATAAACCTACTTTCTGTCGATTTTCTGTTATTTTTCCATTTAAAACGAATTAAACCAGACATCAAAGGGGCGGATAATATTTTTATATTCAAGAGATAAAGAAAAGAGAATATTTTTGTTTAGCTTCTTTATTTATCCCGCGCTGCAGTTATACATACATATATATTTTATTTAGCAAGAGCACGTACACACGTAGCCATAATTTTGTGCTGAGGAATGTATCGGTGAGGTACCGGGAAAAGGAGCCGTGAAAGTTGACACAAACAAGAAAGAAGACAATTGAAATTATTCTTAATAGAGAGATTTCGAAGTGAGAACAGAATTTACAATAATATAATACATTTTCATGAATGAATTTGCGAGCTACAAATGACGCAAACAAAAAAATAAATGCTTTATTTGGGAAATATTTCATGGGTATATAATGAAGGAGAAATTTTTATTGTCCGCGCTCGGGGGTTGTCTTTACTCCGCCTACAGATTAAATAAGCCTGAGACGGAAGGAAGGATGTCAACACGATGAATTGCTCAACAACATTAAGTAACAATATTTGCTTCAATTTGTATTGTACACGGATTTAGGTGGCTTCACCCCAACATTTTTATTTCTTTGAGTGTGCGGGAAGCCTTATTTTATTAGTCATATATTTTACTTAATAAATCTGTTTGCAATACTCATACACTCATTATCAGCACATATAAAATATATCTTTTTTCCTTAACATATTTGTATGGACATAAAAATATCGTAACAGATTTTTATGAACTATGAAGAAGCACTATAACACTTTATCATTGTCAGTATACGAGTTTGACAGTTCAGTTTGCGGGTATCGGAAACTTTGCAGTTCAATGTAAACACGACGATAATAATTCGCGATACGTTAACAGATGACATAAAGTTTGTCATAGCGAGAGCATCGTGTCACCTCACCTACTCATCAATTCTTTATTAGAAAAAAAATAAGTAATGTTGAATACGTATAAAATGTTAAACGTGTTGATATTATTTTTTTTAACTCAATAATGATAAAATTGATAACCAAATAAAATTTTACAAAATTCTGTAAAAACGCGTACACAATACTTTTTACAAAAAAATACGGGCCATTGATTGGAGCAGAAAGTGTTTATGTTAGGGATTGTTAAAAGTATATATGTATAATTGTTGTTAGATATAAGATGTTATCAGAAATATCTGTCTGTACCGCACTCGATACAAAGTCGTCTTTTGAATAACATTCTTTATAAATACAGAATCACCACAAATAACACAACAAACAAACTTCCTCAATAACATCAGGCATATTATAAAATGCACATTGCTATTTCTTTGGTATAAGGAAACCTTTAAGTTCGACCTCTGAAATATTTCAGGGCTTAATTAAAATATTTGAGCCGAGCTTCGGAGATAAAGCAATTATTTTAGAAATTACAAATATTTCCTTGGCATGTTTGAACGTAAAGTGCAGTGCCAGGAGCAAGGGATTGCTATTTATAAAATTATCTAATAGTTTTTTTGTTTTGTACAAGTACAGAATTATGTTTAGCATATCCAGTAACATTGGAGACAATGTAGATTGTACAACGTTAGGAATGTTTAGAAATTAATTAATCAAAAGGAGTGGAGTGGTAGAATCAAAGCATATGTGATGGGTATCGGCTTGAGAGGAGTTCGGCAGCTCCATTGAAATAAACCTTCTGGAAAATTGATTGTAATGCATTCGCTTTGATCAAATTGACAGCTTAACAGTTTGGAAATAATTTATACAACAGAGCAAAATATCTTGTTCGTGATTACTAAAACATATTGCTATTGATTCAACGTTCGAGATTACTTCATAATAACTAGTTGTTAAATATACATATTAATAGACAGCTTTTCTATGTATATCACTTTTTACTTATTAAAGATTATTGATACACTTATATACATTTGTTTGTGTTGTTGTTGTTGTTGTTGTCTAGTGCGATCTTGTTAACTCTGCAAGAAAAAAGTAGAGAACCAAACGAGGCGCTACAAAACATATATGTACATATTTATATGTAAATTAATTTACGTTCTCGCGATAATTGTTAGAGACAAGGACGTAATTGTAATTAATAACTATGATAAAATAGTTATATCACTTCAGGGTAGGTTGGCTCCATGCTCGCTCCGCTGCATGGTTTATAGTGCTGCTCCTTTCAGCGGCAACACATTGATCTCATAGAAATGTTTTTGATATTTACACACAATGAAATAACATGAAATTCAAATTTAAATTACTATTATTATTTTTGTATTGTATTTTATTACAATTTCTAAGTACACGTGTCATAAAAATTCCTAACAAGTATTTTTATTAGAACCTACTTGTTAGGAATTTTTATGACACGTGTACGTACATACGTTACTTGCCAATAAAATAGCGGAGCGGACAAGCGTTGTCCTACATATCATCGTCGCCGCCGCCGCCGTGAGCGACGTGCGTGTGCGGGGCGAGGCGCGCGGGGGAGGAGGGCTCATATCACTCACTTCACGGATAAATATTTATTGGTGCTCGCTGAGAACCTATATCCAATAGAATGTGTACGTTTCATTGTTTGTTCGCAACATATTGGCAAACACGCGAGGCCGGCGTGACGTCAGCTGTCGCCGGACATGATCGACGACCGCCAACCCCCCTCTACAACATATTCATAACAGTTAAAGGCTTAAAGTTTGACATCTTCGTAGCATTTATTTGACAAAGTTGTCTTAATAATATTACTCTTTTTTCAAGTTTATTAATAAAATAAGTTTAGTTGGAAGTATCGCTAATTGCTCCAACTAGGTAATACCATTACGAAGTAGAAACACGAACAGAAAACACTTCGTTATTTAGAAAACGTTCGCCGCTCAAGAAAATGAACTGTTAAGACTTCGATAAAATAATACAATGAGAATTATTCAGAGCCGAAATCGAATTTAGCAGCGGCAGTTTGTTTTGAGAGTGTCTTCCTGACTTGACGACACTCTTCACGACTTTGAAATAATTTCCGACTCAGTATTTCAAATAACGCGACCTAAAAAATACATGTTATGCAGTCAAAATATATGCATACTAGCTGTCGCCTGCGACACCGTCAGCGTGGAGTTAGGAAAAACTTAATTTTACATCTGTGCCAAATTTAATAGAGATTAGTTTAGCCATTCTGGAGATACTTTTAAACAAACAAACATCCATCGATCTGAACTATCGCATTTATAACTTTAGTTAGATTTGTGTCAGTGTAGTACTCACACACACACACACACACACACATCAACACTGAAATAAGTCTAAATAGTTCGTCTCAGCAATGTTACACCCGAACACACACTTTTGAGAATAATACCCAAAAAGTAAACTTACCCAAATATTATCTCTACTTTACAATATCCCGTTCACACAAGGAACGTTAAACTACGATGCGGGCTTCGACCGCAACCTATAACATAAAGGTCTTATACTCGTACGTATATAGCCTTCACAAAATAATGGCATGTGAAAAAATTCACTTTAACGTATAGTAATTTAAACAACACAACATTTAAACAATTTTATTTGATATAATGTCTATTGAACATACGAGTATGTCTGTTCTAATAGATATAAACCATAAAAAATGTAATCCGCCTTAAGTTTATGAACCACCATTTTATTATGAATATATTAATTGATTTAAGGTATTTTGTAAGTAATTATCACGTAAAAACTGAATCTCTCAGTGTATCTCACAAGTCTTCAAGGCGCATATAATGATCATTGAGGTGTTATCACTGCGGCTCAATCGTAGACGACCTACGTCGCTACACCGCTACGTTGCTACACCGCTACTTGCCGGCGTCTGCCAGGTTATCACCGATGGCTGTGGGCACTAGCACCAGGCAGTCAGTTCGCGCGCCGCGCTCGACGTTGCTGCATGTGTTTCGCGTTCGGCCGATCGGGAAACTTTATTCGCTCACATCGGGTTTGGATTTTTGTTTCAGTGATTTTATGTTATAATTTGTAGGCAATGTAATTTTTAAAATAATATTCTGTGATCACCACGTTATTTTCGTTGCAATAAATTCAAGTAAGTACACACTTTTAAAAAGTTTTTTTTCTACATTATAAGGTGGCATACGAAGAAGCGACCATCTTCTGAATTCGCCGAAATAGCGAAGCGACCGCTGCCCATAGATATCTTCAAATGCCTTGCCTACCTTTAATAGACGGAGGAGGGGACGCATAGAAAGAGGATTTTTGCCATTTATATGTGACCCATTACCCGCTAAATCCCCTTCCCATCATTGTCCTATAACAATAGATGAGAAGGGAACATGGTCTGAAATTAGGCCACCGGCACGCTCATACATCATCATATGAAAGGTGAAATTGTTTCCACTTTATGTGAGTCTTTTGTATGGTCATGGTATTGCACCGGCGAGCCCATTCCTGTTCCTGCCCAACTACAGTTATTGTTTTTGCGCGCTCTACCACTGTTGTATCAATATAACTAATGTACGGTTAATTTTATTTGTAAATACATCCTGCTGATGGGCTGTTATATATCGTATATATATGTATATATATACGTGTAATCATTCCAAATATAAATTAGTATCATGAATATTCTATTTTCAATTGATTTCATAACCACTCAGTCTTTCTTACCTTCTAAATACTCGTTGTTATTGTTAAAAATAACGAGTATTTAGACGTTGTATGTAGGGCTACAGCATTGAATTAATAGTTCCATCTTCTACAATATTTTCAAGTTAAGGTTAAGTTATGTTACATACACTACTTAACAGATCAAAACCATCGTCTCTAATAAATACAACCGCAAGGCCTTCGCGGCCTAATGCTACATTGAATATTATCAAAGCGGTATTTAGTCTGTTTGGTTTGAGCGAAGTATAACCGCGTTTTATCAGCGGTTGAATTTAACGCCGGTTGCGAAAACACGTACAAATGTGAATTCATTATTTATCACTTTTGTACCGACACCAGCCGAATGGATATTTCAACAATTTATATAAACAATGTATTATATGAAATATTTTATCGATGATTTGGTCAATCAGAATCAGGTTATGTCGTCGTTTGGATTGTAATAATGTCGATATACAAGCAGCGGCTGCAAGCGCCAACAACCGCGCCTGGGGAGAAGGTGACGACAGTATGTTCGTAGTTTATTACTCAAGCCAGCACGATTACAATTCTTCTTCAAAAACTTCGAAAAGAATTACATAGCTGGAAAGGCTCAGCAATTTGGCAACACAAACTGCTCTCGAGCACTCATATAGGTAAAAAATTTTGGTACGTTGTCAGGTTTTAGTATTATCTGTGGTGAATGCTAAAAACTAGGTTATAGGAGCGACATTGTGTGTAGCCAAATCGCGCAGTGCTACTGACATACAGACGGATCAAGACACTGGAATATTTTGATTCACAAATATGTGATATACATATTGTACCTATTATATGGTATAATATGTGTAAACGTTAATATATAATATATATAAAAAATCGTTAGTCACATTCAACATTCATTTCTATTCTGTGTTTCAAATACTTTCTTAGAAATAAACTTTGTTCTCAAGTTTGGTCTCGTCGCGAACTAATGAATACTTTACGACTTGAAGGATTAATCAAAAGCGCCAATAGCCTAATGGTTAAGGGTGCGGATTCCCGATTACGAGGTCGGGGGATCGAATCCCGCCATTCGACTATTGACGTAAACCATATCCTAGCACAAGCCTAGAGCTTAGTTGGAATGGTACAAGAAATATTAGTAAATTAACAAAAATCTGCTAATATTTTAATAAAAAAAAAAATCAGCAACAAAACGGAGCAGTTCCAGGGTACTTGATGAAATAAATGTAAGCAAATAAATAGCAAAGAAAATGAAGCGCTTCCACAAGGTCGGCTACACGAGCGCTCGTTGCCAGACTCGTGCTATGCCGTCTGCTGACGTCAGATTTTCCTTGTAGCGGAAGAACTGCTTATCAAAGGCCAATAAAACCTCCTTGTACCAGAAATTATTAATGTCAATCTGCAGCACTGCACTGAGGTCGATAATGTGTCAATAACAAGTATACTTACATTCAAATGGAAATTCGCATCAATTGAAATCCTGAAATGTATAAATAAGTTCGCCCAGAACTGAAATCTAAGAATTACATTTATTCGAGATAGCGTTAGCTTCATACCAGATAATAACCTTACAACACATTAACAATGTAGGGACGTATTTTTTCTTTGAAATTTGTGAAAACACTAACTATTCTCACTAACTATTATAATAGGAGAGAAAATGGAAAGAGTTTCCATTAGGAAGCAGTTACCAACTCGTCCAAGATGTTGCAATTCTCGTATTAATCGCCACTATACGTATTTACAACAGACATTTCTGTATGACTGCTGAGATCGCCCCTCCGATGCCATGGCGGTAATCTTTACGCATTTGAGCAAAACTAAATCGAAATATGTTAACAACCGTACAATATTTTGATTATTGTATATTTTAGTAGAAAAATCTCAAAGCTCTTTCGGTGCGATCCTCTACGGTTCTCATTAAAACGACATATAACACGAATGTCTCTCGTTAACTAACATTATCATAGCACATGGACTGTAGGTAGATGCATGGAGCAAACGCAAATTATTTAATGAACGAAATTCGGCGTCTATGTGTAGACGAAATATTTGAATGATAAAATCGTTCAAGCTCAACGAGCAATGCGAGCTGATAACAATATTTTATGTTGAAATTACTGCAAAATATCGCGGCATTACTGACACAACATTTGGCGATGGCGGGGCGATGGCGGGGCGAGGGCGGGGCTAATCTCGACAGCCATTTATCTGCGTGTAAAGTGTGGCGTCATTTTAACGTACACGTGATGACATTGTATGATAAGTCAACTGTAGTCGCCGCAGAAGCGCCGGTGCCCTCCTCATGCCCTCCTGCCGGCGTACTTGACTGCCTGAACGATCAACTGCCCGAATCGCTGCCTGTCCGCGTGCCTGAAATTAATATTAACATAAATTGCCATTTATTTAAAAAAAATAATAATTTCGTTCAGATTATGCAAAAAGTTACGATCGTAGTTGGGTTAATGAGAAAACTAAAATGACTGAGCCGGTCTAATAAATGAGTAATATCACTTTTATAGCTTTTGTGTAGAAATGATTTAGTTATGAATGTATTATAACTTTTATTCCTATTTAGAAATAAAATAATCCAAAAATCTTTACTTTGTGACGTAAAGAGACGGACGCTGTTGTTGATGCGAGGCGACATTTAGTAAACAGCCGAGTGAGCCGAGCTGAGTGCACGCACAAATAGTAACTATGCAATAAGTTGATTGTAATTTAAGATCTCTTATTTAAAAATAGAGACGGAAAGGAAATCATTCAAATGAATTCGCCTTAATTATAAATCAGTGAACTAATCGAAGAGAATTTTGCGACGGAAAATTAAAAAGCAAAGTTATAATAGTTTCTGTTAATATTATAATATTTCTACAACACTTGCTCTGACTACAGATAATACTGTAAGTAAAACAAGAAAGTATATTTAAAAATACAAAGCTCATTTGTCCAAAGAGATGCTATTTGAGGTTTAGTTTGTTTGTGTTGGCCTGCTTCACCCCGCGCCCCCCGCACCGACACTTTTGACTTGTGCTCACCTGTGTAGAGTGATCGCTGCGCTGACAAGCTAACGGCTTACCATTTCCAGTGGGACCAACTTTTCATGTCATTCACTGCTTTGCTATCTGTTATCTAGAGCAAGCAAAAACATCTGTAAACAAAAACGTGGAATTGTTGTAGATTAGTTTTATTTGCAGAAATGCGAGTTTCCAATAAATGTGAAAATATCTACATAATGTCTGAAATAAATTTATTTATTTATCTCAACAAACAATTAGGCATCCGTTTTCTCGTTTTCTCGAATAACTTAAACAGTTCTATATTATATAAACAACAAACTTTCATATTATTCAGTCAAACCGAATATTATCTTTTCTGTTGACATATTCCAAATATAAGTTGATGAATCATAATTCTTTCTTGCGTATTCGTCGTCGTTCGGAGTTATCTGCTTAAAATAATAAAAAAGGGAGTAAAACGAAAGCGTCCGGCGCCGTGCGACAAAGCTTTGTCCAACTTCAAACAAATGAAAACTATTGAGACAACGACTTGTACTACGCTACGTCGCCGCCAATCGCCGCTCGTTGCCGCCGCTGAGGTCCAGAGCCTGCCCTCTATACTCTGCATAGTATTACAGTACAGTATGGAAAACAAAATTCTATGACAAAATTTTACGTTAAAACGTAGATTTAGGAATGTGGTACACTATTCGAAAATACAAATATTATGTGCTAGGAAATAACTACTCTTTTTGCGACTTAAAATATTACAAGTATTCATAGAAATTGTTTGTTGAGAAGTAATTTAGTTCAAAAACTGAAAAGAAACCCGATAACCATCAAGTTGTAGCTATAATCTTGTAATCAAATGTATATTAAAGCTACATCGTTTTAATTAGTATTCATTAGTGTGTGCTTTGGGCGGAGTAATTACAGCGTGTACTCGGAGCGGCCGTAAAGTGCGCTGGGCTCGTTCGCTTTACGACGCGACACAACGCGCCGACGGTGTTGGGACGATGTCGCTTTGTCCCTACGCCCTTATCTGATATTTTGATAGATTATAAACGCTTACACCTGTGCGCTGATAGTCTGCCGACCGCCTTCACGTTTACTTTATAATGTTTTAAGCTGGACAACGGGCATTTTAATCATAATTTGAGAGTTTTGCTTTACATTGTTATCATATTAATCATCACGGCATTTATATTGTACCGCGGCGGCATGGTGCATTTTGGATCTAGTGATTTGGTAATTCAAGTTAAGGTGGATTTTTGTTCAAATTGAATAATCCATACAAAAGGGCAAAAACGACGAAATACAGGTTTTGACGGAAAATTAATTTCACATAAAAGCACTTTGAACCGTTTCTTGATTTAAAATATATTTAAAATCCATATCCGTACCTACATACGAGTATGTATGGCGGAAACGTTAT